TTGACAATTTTCGCGCAATCCCCGCCCTCCATGGGCGGGTCCTGCCACCCACAGTGAGCGTTCCCATCCTGTTCCCATAACTCCTACTAAATTCGAACGTTCTAGGTCCACGGGGACAGAAGTTATGAAATTTCGCTCACACTCCTCCCAGTGGGCGGAGTTCGGTACTACTGCTCACCATGAGTGTTTCCATCCTGCCGCATGAACTCCTGCTGAATTTGAACAATCTAGGTCCACGGGGACAGAATTTATGACTTTCGCTCAAACATTCATTTCTCACAAACCCCGCCCCCTGTGTGCGGAGTCCGGTCCTGCCACCCACTAAAAGTGTGCCCATCCTGCTGCCTGTACCCCTACCAAGTCTGAGTGCTCTAGGATCACGGGGACATGAGTTCTGAATTTCCGGTCAGACACACACACATACACACACGCCCAAACACACCAACAGACACACTTAGCCGATTATACAAGTAGGATAGTGATGACCGTTGAACCAGGGCGGTTACCGGCTGGATCCCTCGGGACATCAAACGAACTCACGGACGGCCGCCAACGAGATGGTTAGACTTCTTCACGAAAGCTCTGGGCGAAAGGAATGTTGGACCTCGTGTCCCTGAAGTGACGACGATTCACTCGATCACTCTGGCTCGCGACAGGGACGAATGCAGACGCTACTGAAGCCCGCTCGGGGAAATCGATGATCAACGAAACGACAGGTGATACAGGTGAAGCCCAAGGCGACGCCGATGATGAGAACTGATTACAGGAGGCAGCGACGCGGCGGAGATACAAAAAGGAATGGAGGAAGCAGTGAGGACAACAAGATCGACGACGGCTAGCCGGGCTTCCAGTTGGAGCCGAAAACGTAAACGACGACCGCGACTTCCCGCGCCTCGGGTCTGAAGAGGCTCAGCACTTCACTTACTGGTTGCTTGTTATTCTCCTGTACCTGCTTATAACCGATAAATGATATTTCTATTTCTATTCTACCGTACTCTGAGGAGGGTGAGAACCCGACCTATTACTGAATTGGCGTGTGATACAGTGGCCATCATGTTTGTAGTACGACTGCCAGACATTCTGTTCATCACCACAACGGCTTTGTTCAACTACATGGCCGCAAAAGGCATCTTCAGCGAATGAATGTACATTTCACCCTTATTATTGGTGACGAGGCTCCGCAAACTCCAGAATCAGTGCTGTTGGCTCTGGTCACTCATATCCCTCAGGCGCGACAAAGTAGACATTCACGTTCACATTCACCAGCTCATGAGCGCTGTCTCTAGCGCTCCTCTAACTCAGCAAGATTCGGAGCTCGAGGAATAATGAACATTCTCTTAGTAAAAAAAGTTCCTTCGGCTTCACTGACGACCACCTTCCGCGCCCATCCTCTGCTGAACGAGCTACCCAAATTGACTTTACGACCACATCCATGTTAACGGAACACGCGCAGAAGATCGACACATATTCTTATTGGACGTTCGGTGCGTTCATCCCAAACTCCCGTTTGTGTTCATCGAAGTTCTAGGGACGTTGTCTAGAGCTCTTGGCGGCTCGCACAGTAATCAGGTCGAAGTCGAAATCTTCTCGTCAAATCATCAAAAATCAGATCGTTCTGAGTCTCTGTAGAAAAAGCGTCCAGCCTTCTTCGATCGCTATTATAGTCTTCTACTAGGAACAAACCCGTGTCCCAGTCCCAAGTCGCTAACAGTAGCGACGTCGACATGCAGAGATCGACTTCGTGCAAGGACAAGAAAAGGGCTTTTGTCATTATACTTACGACCAGAACAGGCTTTGATGCCGATCGAGGCAAATTTCTCAGCGACCCTCATAGACTGAATGTTACAATTTTCCGATGCCGACATGGTCAGTTTGTCTTAAGTCTCGAGCAGCCACCAAATGGTCTTTCGCACTGGCACGACATCCTGCACTGGGCTCGCTACCAATGTGCAACCAAGGTTCTGCTTGACTGACTGATTTGTTTTCATTTCCGTACATTCTCAGGTGAGCAATAATCTCGATTTCACATCTAATCAGGGAAGAATCCAAGTCGAAGTGGCTAGAGTTTTATGGGGGACCGGATTTTGCATTATATAGAATTTCTCCCTAAACGTTCAGAAAATACTATCATGGTGATTTCATCACGTTTTATGACCTTCTGATGCTTTTGCTGATATTTTCCACATAAAGAAATAGTTCAACTTCTTCGCATGCCCATGCATTCTATATTCACAGTAAGATAACTTTTGCCGCTTTATGAACAAATGTGATACCCCAGCACGGAATGCTTGAAACAAAGAAGCTTCTCACAATGAAAAAGAACTCGTCACAGTCCATCGCTTTACACTTACTAAGCATAAATCAGAAAAAACAGAATTGAGTGGGCGTCCCAAATTACCCGGCTGAGTACTTGAGTAGCCGGTGGCATACCATGAATAATAAAGAAATTTCCTGTATCTAACAGCACGAAACTGAAGCACTAGTAAGCAAAAATGGGGTTTCGTGTGTACACGCTAGAGTTGAGGTTAAATATTATCATGCACATACATCATTATCATACCAGGTGGGCTACGTACTCTAATGCGTGCACCACATGCCCAATACCGCTTACCTACGACTTGTTAGAGGACCAATATGAACAGTATTGGTTGACTTTCCATTTCATAACTGCTTCCTCACCGCGCTCACGCGACATTCACACTCTTCATAGTGCCTAAGTGACTTTCGGAAAGACGCACAAACTCACCCACAAACAGGCACACAAAGTTACCGTTTTATATATAAAGACAGTGGGACCGCCTGGCTAACGCCGGGCTTCCCTTTTTCTTATGATAGAGTCGTGATAAACAGCAAACAGCACACTCCTTCTTTGGAGCGAATGATACTTTTCGGAACACGGAGTTCGATAGAGGAACAATAGGGCATACAAAGGACATTCACCGCGCGCGCGGGCGGGTAGGCGGACTATGAACGCGGCCTATCTCCCCCTAGGGGACGAAACATTCGTGCGATTCGGGCTGCGCGCGGCAAACTGCGCGGTGAAATTCATAGCGATTCTGACGACTTCAGCGCCTATTATTGCGGCACAACCTCGAAGTAGAGTAAATTAGTAGGATCAGCTGACCACACAAAACTACTTTACTTTGAGATTGGGCCCAAAGAATAGACAGAATAGACAATAGAGTCGTCAAAATTGCTATGTATTTCGCCGCGCAATTTGTCACTCGCAGTCCGAATCGCACGAATGTACCCATACCCCTTCTCCGCGTACACTGCGTCGCGTTTGCCGCACCCGTCGCATATCGCAGAAATGCGATGGAGGCGCGTGCAATCTGTGAGTTAGAGCGCCCTTTAATTATTTAAAGTTGCTGACCGCTTTCTTCGGTCCCCCTGCGGTCTTGGTCGTCGATATTAGAAAAGACGACAACTCGTCAAAGCCAATAGAAAAAATAAGGCAGTCATTTTTTGTGAACATGTGATGCAGTAACTTCCTTTTTTGTTGCGAGTTCCTTTTTGTTGCGCATGTGGCGGGTGTTTGGAGGCGCTTGAGTGTTCTTCGGGATGCTGTATAATACATTCACGAGACTTCCAAACCTGTATTCTCCACTCTGTTGCCCCTTCTTTCTCTAGGTGTAGGTCAAAAACTATATTCTCCAAGCTAAGAAACCTTCGCAAGCATTATTACGTGCTCGCAAAATTGCAACTACCTCTCCTCTTCGCTAGCGTCAATGTCATTGCCGAGAGGCGCCATCCCCAAATACATTCTCGCTAGTATTGGAAGCATACGCATTTCTTTGATTTATCTTCACGTTTGAAACTTTTATGAGAAAAGGCGAAGATAAGACGTAGCAGCACAAGACTCATCTGATATTTCAAGCTGTTCGGGGATGTCTAGGGAACCCTCACAAGTTTCTCTGCGCAGTGTAGGAAACGCCAAATAAACAGCGGATGTATTTGGGTATTTGGACTTACGTGCCTCAGAGAACGCGCGGAGAGTGGATTGAAGGATCATCTGACCCTACTGAACTGCTCTACTTCGAGTTTGTGCCTCTAAAATTGGCGTCAGAGGCTGCTTTCATAGTCAGCGAGCGAGCGAGCGACTGTTGGCGGCGCTACCTCCTTGTTTACAATTGAATCTTGGTCGATACCGCCGAACGAGTCGCTCGCTCGCTGGCCACATCGCGGACTATGAAAGCAGCCAGAGTCGTGCAAATCGTCACGATTTTCGCCGCGCAAGTCGCCGCGCGCTCTCGGACGCACGACTTGACCGTCCCCGTTCGTCCACATACCCGTCAAATGCATCTTTCATAGTCCACGATTTTGGTCGCCAGTCGCTCGCGAGATGGGTCCGCGACCGGTCGCCAGTCGCTAGCGACTGGTCGCGCGACGGTCGTGGACTATGAAAGGGGTGTGTGTCAAGTCGTGCGTCCGAGGGGGGCGCGGCAAATTGCGCGACGAAGTTCGTGGAGAATTTGGACGACTCCGGCGCCTATAATTGGGGCCCAAATCTGAAGTAAGGTAGATAAGTAAGGTCAGCTGATCCTACTATTCTACTGTACTTCAAAATTGGGCCCAAATAATAAGCGCTAAAGTCGTCAGAACAGTTATGGGTTTTGCCGCGCAATTTGCCGCGCGCACCCTCGGACGCACGACTTGACCGTCCCCCCGTCCCCCCTATGAAAGCAGGTTGGGAGGCAAACGCTGCAATTGCGGACCGCTGCGACCGAGCAAGCCATTTACTACTCGCTCCTCCCGCGGGCGCCGCCTGCCCAGTTGAGGCACGTAGCGAATAGGCGGAGGGTACAGACGGCGGGATCACTTGTGAGGTTTCTCCTGATGCACCGAGTACTCCCGTCCCGGTAGCTTTGCGTAGAACACTGCTTGCAGTTCCATTCCCACTTCATTCTAGTTCGCTTCTACCTCTATAAATTTTGCTAATCTTCCACATTTCCTGTACTGATAGGTGATTGTTTAGGTGGCCATTTTTTCGGTTTTTCACGATGGAGCATAGAGTTCCTGTTGCTCAATCTTCCGTTTCTCAATTAGGCCGTGCTCAACGTTATCGCAGAATCGTAGTCTTGGACGACTCCTCGGCTAGCGTACATTCAGAAAGGTATAGTTACTAGAAAATGATTCATATATTGCGCAAATGCAAAACTAAAAGGCGCTTGCTCTCCGCTTTCAGATCCAACATAGAACACTTGCTTAGTTTTCTTGTGGCGTTGGAATTTCATAGGGAGCTCGCCTGGTCGCTTCTAGCCCTGGTGATTTCGCTTTAGGCGTGAGTGAGATATGTGCCAGGGTTGTCAAGGAAGACATTTTTAAAACTACAAGACTTTTATTAAGACTAAAGTTCCATCAATGATGATGTCCCGTGCTGGACTGGTCAGATTGATGTGGGGATAGTATGTCTTAAATGTGCCTGAATTCGTTAGAGGTTCAGAAGAAGGTCAGTTTGAATTGACCAAAAAAACACTGCGGGCACCCGCACTTAGTGTGGATGCACCTACTTTAGACATTCCACCTGCAGTTAACAACGGCCCTCTAATTGGACATCCAAGGGGCTACTACAGGCTCTGCCGTACCACCGCCAATTTGCTGTATTAACTGCGTTCCAGTACCTAATTTCCGTTTTTATGCGTATTCGCTCGGTCTAGTCCGCATGCATTTCAGCCAAACCCAGGAAGGACACTCAAGCAGTTCTTTGACAAGTGGTATTGAGAGGGAGACATCGCTTGTTGACGAGGTTAGTTGTTGTACTTCATTAAATCTATTACTCAAGATTAGTTTTTGTGCAGTACTGACACTAGGTCATGCTGTTTCCTCCGGATGCAATTTAAAATCAAATATTTGTGACGTGTATCTTTAATAATGCACCTCGAGTAATAGATCACAATTGGCGCGACTTTCAAACGGCCTCCTTGCGTTCCATAGGCAGAAAAAGTGAGCAGGTGGGGTAGTAAATCTGAGGAATATTTCGCGAGTCCCAAAATGAACGAGCTCTATCTACCCATGGGATCTTGGTATGTCGATGGATGGAACGCTTACCGAAATAGAAAATCATCACTGACTAGATGGGTTCACCAGAAAAGCAATTACCGCTCAAATTTCGCTTACTCGAGACTTGGAGTTGGTGCCTATCGTCGAGACTTGGAGTTGGTGCCTATCGTCGTGGTGTAATGGTAATTCCCTTGTTTCGGTTCGTTTCAAACACAAAGGGCTTCAGTTTCTGCTATTGATAATATCCCGTAACTCTTTTACTCTGCTAGAGTTCTACACAGCTTAGGATCTCTAACATGGTTTTGTCCTATCTATTCCTCCTTTCCATTTTTAATATGTGAAGATCCAATTAAATTTCGCACGTTAAGGAGCATCTGAAATACTCAAATCAAAAAAAAAAACAGGGCAATTTCTAGTATAGGTTGGGCTGTGCTCAATGCAAACTACTACGTAATCGCTTCATAAACGAAAAAAATTCAAGCAGAACTTTTATTTGAAACATTTGTAAGGTGTCCAATCTCAGCTTGAATCATCGCATTATGAGACACGTCCCGACTCACGACGTCCTCACTATAAATTCGATCCCGTCATCAAAGCCCGTTGCCATTCTCTCTCCTCGTGGAGACGTCTGCTTGGAAGGTTCATTTAACCGGAGTCGGCCTTGTCTATGCTACAGACTTATATATTAGTTGGAAATGAAAAGGTCATAGTCGCAACATTTTTGCAATAATCGAGGCGATTTCTGTCCAGAACCTAGACGAACCTATTTATTTACATCCGCAAGCACATCCGTCATGGCAAAATGGAATGAAAAGATAGCAAGGAAAGTGAGAATGGATTCTAAACAAATAAAAGCAGTAGAACACTAGTAAGAATTACCATGGCTAAGATCGCGAAATATAGCTCCAATCATCAGAAGATAAGTCTTCAATAGGTGTCCTATTCCCGCATATATAGAAAGATGCCTTTCAATTTTGTAAGGCATCTTTTCCTTTAATGCAAATTTCTCTATCACAGCACTCTACTATAGCCTATAGAAAGTGGTCCATATTTGTAAGCTCACATTTCCTCTCCAATCAAGCCCTGGCTTGGCTTCATGGTGCACCGTGAGTATTTCTCACCCAATACGCTTTTGCAGGGAAGTGATTGCGAATCTGAAACGGAAGAAGAAGGTTGCGCGACGGAATCCTTTATTGTATCCGACAATGAATATCTGACCGGTAAAGTTCGTTGATTCTTTTGTCTTTGTAAAAGTGAATTGGAAGTTCATCACAGTTTTGAATTTTTCCAAACTTGACAGATTTTCGCAATTTAACATAAGATTTCTCGAAGGCTCACATTGAAAGAACAGAAAACGACGACAATTATATTTGATCCGTTAATGGAATGGTATCAAGTCACACAGTCGCGGTTCTGCACCGTGTTAACGTATTCATCAAAAATTACTCCAATAATGTCTCGGTCTAATGGATGTTAGAAATAGACGTGGTCTTTGAAGTTTGTGGTACGTCGTGTATTGTCGAAGTGATTAAGTGCTTTATAGAGACAAGTGGGATTTTTTGTGCAAGAAAATGAGCTTCATAACATGAGCACTTGAGCATTGTGCTAGCAGTTATAAGTTCGTTTTTGGACTTCCTCCGGTAGAAGCCTTTCGCAGTCTAAATTATACTGTTCTAATTGCCGAAAAAGTTCCCTTACCTCGGCGGTAGCTTCGAAATGTAGCACTCATTTTAACGCGTGTTGCTTGACTACGGATCCGTTTCGTTCAAAGGTATCTGTTTTCCGTCCAAAAGTTATCAAAAGCTCAATTTTAATGAAAATTGTGCTATGCAATGTTTGAAAAGACTTTCATAAATGTTTTCTTTGCCGTAGTAAATTGTATAAGGAACATTTGTTCGGAGAAAAATACGTTGTTAGGCAATTTGCCTGAAACTCTAATTTTCTTTATAGATGATGCATCCTTCCTATCGAGATCCGAATCTGATTTTTCATATGGAGAGGAAGTTCTGCCGTCTACTACGAGAAAAGTGTTGCCTCAACGATGTGCTAAGGTTTCTGATTTCCCATACCATTAACAGTCTTGTATTCATTTCGTTCAGATCGTCTCGGGTGGAAAGACACTGAATCAACGGAAGGAAACAGCAAAAGCTCCGCATGCATGCAACGGTGTGGTCTATCAATATTGAAAAGTATGTTAAATCATAAAACGAAACATGTGGTCATTTGCAGATGATTTTTACAATGAAGGATGTCATAGTGATCTCTTGGAACATAGTGAATTGAATGGAAGCGATGATGCTGCATTTTCACCCGCGGTAAAACAAGGAAAGGTGGGAGTTTGCATTCTGAGAGCCTTAGAATGTCCAACTTCGGTTCTTGATTCTTAAGACAGTCACGGATTTATGTGGTATGCAGAATACCTTCAATTTTTATCGAAATCATAGCTATCAATTGTTAACTCATTGACGACACCTTGACGCGCATGCGCCTCAAGCTGGCTGCGCCCGCCAAAACGCTCATGTCCCTCGCGGCCGAAAAATCCAAAACGCGCGCTGTCGTCAGTGGGTTAAACTTTCGGTGGGGTCTGAGCGTTACTTTTCCATTTGTCGATCAAACACATAAAGCAGACTACAATTAGATTGAAGAGAGGAAATTGTTATTTTTGGAAGTGACAATGTTGTCGTAATCTTCGTAAATTCACTTCTTCCCAAACTTTTTGCGCGCTGCTTTATTTTCTCTACAATGGTAACCCATGAACTATTTCCAATTTCATGCATTATACTTTCCCAGCAGTCAATTGGTGAGTGGCAATCCATAGAGCGGGCTTCGATAGACGTAATCTGCTTTTCAGGAAAGTCGGAATGGAAAGTCCGGAGGAACAGTCATTTATTCCGACAGCGATGAAAGCAGTGCAGATGATAACTTTGAAAACTGTGAGTGCACCAGTGATATCTACTTCGACCTCACTTGTGGTAAAAAGTGATTTTGTAAAACAGATTTGACGAAACTTCGTCAGAATCGTTCAACCGTAAAAGAGGACGACGATCACAAGGGCCATGATGACAACAGGTGCGGCATTCTTCTTTTTTTTTAGCAGTTACTGATCTGCATCTCTTTTCCATCAGCCTGAATGGGTTCCGTTCAGTTTCGTTGTTAGCGATGACTATGTCTCCAGCTCTACGAGCTCTGAAGATGAAGTGACTGATGACTCTTGGACTCCAAGTGAGCAGGATGAAGAGGATCATAGAACTCGAAGTAAGTCTCGAGAGTTATTTTACCCTAAAATTCCATAGGTAAGAGCGGTCCCTTAAAATCGCTATTTTTCTATATGAATTGTTCATTAAGTGGGCGGGGTTTAGAGTTGAGGGGCGGAGCTTCTTCTAAACTTCTCCGATTTTTATTTATCCATCCATCAAGTTAGAGGGGTGACTGTATTCAATTTCAATTTTTTCCAATCCATTTTTCACCGGTAAATCAAACCGCTCTTATCTATGGAATTTTAGGGTAGTTCTTCATACGATTGCATTTTGACTTACTTACTAGTCTTCCACCTTCGCTGACCTTAACGAATCCTTTCAGAGCAAAACTTGCTGAATTCAATAAAAGATTCGTTCAGTAGCCCGTCTGTGCTGTTGAAATCGAGAAATAAGGTCTGTGTATTTGTTGCTTCTACCCTCTATTGACTATATTTTTCTGTTTACCCATATTTTTCATCATTTTATTCATTCCACTGTGATGGAGTTAGTCTTACAATTTTACTTTTACAGATAGCGGACCCGGAAGAACACTTCCTCATGTCGCTGTCATCTGATTATTCTGAAAGACGGCATCCAGAAGCTGAAATGTATTTGAAGAGAGGAATCAAAAATGAAAAACTCCGCATGGAACTCACTTCTCGTCTCTTCGATATTTTTCGTAGGCAATGTTTCAAAAATGAGGTAAGAGCGTTGATATGATCAGTTTATTCATGAGCATGACTTAGAGTGGTATCAAACTCGCCTGGGAGGGTAAAAGCCTTGGTCTGTAATATGGCTTACCACTGCAAGTTAATGTGTTCAGCACGTTTGCTTTCAAAACGGTAGTACGATTATGAGCGGAGGTGGAATGGATTGAGGTATTTCAAAACGGGGTTGATCTGCGCCGAAGACTATCCTTCTTCATTATAGATACCTGAGTTCCTTCCCGTGAAGTGGAACAACCGATTATATAAAACAGCTGGGATGTGCCGAAATATGTCCGACCGCACGAGCTGGATAGAATTGTCGCCAAAAGTGTGCAGTACTCCTGGTATGATGCTTGACTTACGTTTTACATAAGACTCAATTCTTGCTAGATCCGGTGTTATTTAGATCGAGTCCGCGATACTCTTATTCATGAGTTGTGTCACGCAGCGGTATGGGTAGTAGACGGAAAACGAAAAGAGGGGCACGGTCCTCTTTGGAAGAAATGGTAAGTTTACACTTTCTAATTTGATTTCAGTTGTATTCCATCCTGAAGCCAGTTAGTGCTTAGGTACTTATTTACTTTTCTTTGATACTTTGATGTTCTACTGGCTTTCAGTCTTCTCAGCGAAGACAGCAGCTTTCCATACCGCCCAGTCTTTCGCGACTTGTATCCATTGTAGGTTCCTTTCCCGGAAATTTCTGGAAAGCAAATCGACCCACCTAGTTGGTAGTGGTCCTAACAGTCATGTTTTGTCTTTTGGAAGCAACCCTGTGACTCCATCTATCTTCCTTTCAGCGAAGTAGATGACCGGTCCAGCATTGTTTTGTACTAAGGCGGGACTTTCAAACTCGATCCCTCTTCTTCACCAAGGTCTGGGCATCGCAAGTCTTGGTTGCACTGCTGACGTCAACTTATCTTTAGAAGATATCTCTCCAATTCACGATGAGCAAGTCTAGTTCTCAGGCCACATTTCACTCGCGTAACACATCGAAGGCAATACCTAAGCGTTGAACATCGATGCCTGAAGTTTGGGTCGCTGCCCATGCAGCGCGTTCCCTCCTCTCTTTCATTCTCCGCTTCAGGTCAGAAACAATATTGTTCGTCGATGTTCAGCTCTTTTCCCAGGTACACGTAGAATTTCACTTTCTTAGCAGGTGAAGATTGTGAATGTTTGTGATTATATGTGGAAGACATATTACATAGAGGACAAAAGAAATCGCGTTTGTGATGAGAATTTAAAGCTACAGTTCACTATAAAAATGGTTTCCAAGACTCATGAATCTGCTTCTCCCAAGTATGCAATATGGTGCAAAAATGGCCTAGATGGACACAGTAAGGGCTAATAATTGTATGCTGCAACTGCAGTCAAAAACTTTGTGAAGGATTTTGGATTATTGCTTTTTTTCTACACTATTAAAAGCCTTCCTAAAATCGATGAACGTGAGACATAACGACATCATACTTCCGAGACTCTCTTCGATAAGTCTTGTGTTCAATGTGCGCTCAACGAATTTTGGTAACCGAATGATAGCAAGTCAATACACTCATTTTTTGAAGCTGTGACTCGATTAGCTTTTAGTCCCAACTGCCTTCAATTTTCATTTTACATTTACTTCTGCATATTCGTTAATAGACTCCTTTGCAGGGCCGCCCAATGTATGCAACGATTTCCCTTCTTGCCCGTAATTGGTCGATGTCACGATTATGAAATCGATGCCAAATTCATTTATGAGTGTGGAGGCTGTGGTCAAAAGTGAGTGTTTGGTAATAGTCTTCGTTTAGTGCACGCCCTAAGCTGCTTTCATAGTCAGAGCGAGCTCGCCGGGCAGGAGCGGCTCTTGCCCCTTGTTTACACTGAATCTTGGTCGATACCGCCGGCTGAGTAGCCCCACACCCGGCGCGCTCGCGCGGGCTGGAAGGCGCACTATGAAAGCAGCCCTTCTCAGCACATTCGTTACAATATATTCGTTGTTATTGGTAAGATGGTGAAAGAGGTCTCGATGTGCGAAAAATAAATCCGACTAGAAGGAGGCGGTTAAAATAAAGTCATGAGGTTGTTTTGTTGCTTACAGGCTATCATAGAGACAGTACGGCTCCTATACCTTTTTCGTGAGCTGCCACCTGCGATCAGAATTATTACAATATTATTATGTTTTTTATTTGATCATGCTCTATTTGTATTTACGTTTTTCACTTCTGGGGCCAGACATTCTCCAGTCATGTTCCCAAGATTTCACGTAAAAGAAACAGTGGGATGGAGGTGCAGTTCGCGTTCTGTTCTGCGTTCTGCGTTCCTTTTTTCGTTTTGAGCCATTCTTTATATTTCATGAGTCAGTCATTCGGATTGCTCAGGCAATAGTTCAGGCATCTGTTAAGTTTTTGAGAGGTTCGTTTTTTGATAATTTAATCAACCCTTCGGATGGTGCGGTGCTAACGTTGCTGGAAGTGTCAATAACAATAGCAATGGTAAAATTGTTGGCTCTTCTTCACGAATTCCCGTCCCTTCCTAAAAACTTCCTGTGATTGAGATCTGTATGAGTTTTCCTTGGCATATGATATCAGAGGTTAGCAAGAAAAAGATTCTTTGTAGAGTCACCGAAAGTACATGAGTAGCGCTCGTATATTAAATGCAAAATGTACACCAAATTTCTAAACCCGCAGCTACTTGTATCTACCTCACATACCACGCTTTATTAAACTGATCTGCCAAGGCCCCACTGCTAACACTAAAGGTGAGGTCGCTCACTGGACATCGGCTCTTCTGTTCGAGGCACTTACAGGCCTTAATTTTTGTTACCACTGCCTATCAAACATTTCTGCGATCCATAAACTTTCCACATAAAATACTCGGGTACCAAAATTTACCATGATTATGAGAGTCACCGTCGTTCCTAACACTTGCCAAGCTGTCTCTTCAGCTGCTCTGTCACGAGCATTCTACGACCTCGTCCTTCCTTAATGGAACAGGAAAGTATGTGCAAGTCTACAGTGTAACCTCTTGTCAGATCTGTCAATGTCAAAGGCCAAATAGATCTAGTGGCTTTCGCCGTATGTCTTTATTAGCTCCTGTCACCTCTATCAAATGTTTTATCTTTTGTCAACGACTGCTTTTTGGCTTTGAACTTCTAATGCTACCTGAAGAATCCACTTAGTTGTTACTAACTTTTATCGCCCCACTTCTATCAGTGCTCCATCTAGCCTTCTTCATCCCATCGAAAACTTGAGCATTTTGGGTCTAAGGGAATAGGGGTTGTGAAAATATGAATGAAACCGCACACAAATATACCTTCGCTTCTGATCTCATCCTTTTACCTCTGTCTCAATAGAACTAGAAGAACTAAAAGTGTGATCGGAGGTCAATTCTACTGGTGTCCGAAAAGTACTTACCGATTTCGAACACCCTTGGTTTATCAAGTGTTTTGGAAAAGGTCGTCGGCATGACCTCATAGAGTCATACATTTTCTGAAAGTGTGAGTCCTAATCTATCCTAGGTTTTGTTGATTTTTTTGAAGATCCTTTGTGTAAGGCTTGAGTGAAAATGGAAGACAATCGCGTGCTTGTTCGCCATCTAATGCTTTTCTTCTATCGCAAAGGAAAGAGTGCAGCTCAAACCGCGAGAAAGATCTGTGGCGTTTACGGAGAGAATGTTCAACATGACCATACAGTTCGTAAGTGATTTGTGAGGTTCAAGCGGGGTGAATACAACATCGAAGATCGGGAACGGGCAGGGAGGCCATCATCACTTGAAGAGGATCAAATCGAAATGGCAATCGAAAAGGATCGGCAGAAAGTCCAGAAATCGGCATGAACCTTTCGGACAACCCAATATATACATCACTCATTAATTTTTAACCGACCATGCTGCTATCTAGTTTATATCTAAGTCGAGTCCCTCAAGTTGATTTTAGTGGATTCGTTGTATCGTTGCCTATTCTTTGAACCTGGTCTTTGAATTTTGCAGGGTGAGACGTCACACCAAATCACTCAATATTGATCAGAAGATATGCGGTATCTGCAAGTGCCGTTTTACACTTCAAGTGCGTACGCGCAAGAAAAAAGACGCAGTTGGAAATGAATCATCAGAGCTGAATCCGTTCGCTAAGTTTGTCAAGGAGAATTACGGAAAACACAAAGGTCCAGGTGTTAAACACGGCGAGGTAGGTTCAAGTTGTATATTCACATGGCAGGTTTTCTTCCAATTTGGAGTTGATATTTAGGTGATGCGTATTCTGGCACAGCTTTATAAAGAGAAAAGTGCAACTAAAGATGATATCGGCGATACTAATGAGCAGGTGTCTCATGATATGAGCATCACTGAGTCTACTGAGCCTCTTGACATGAGCATACTTTCCATACATGATTAATGGCCCGGCTTCTAAAATAATAGGAATGGGATTGTCTTGAAAGCCTTACCTGCTTGATGTGTTCTCAAGAATTATCTTTTCTGCCTAGTATCCTTCAGGATAATTTTATGAATTGTATGAAATACATAGGAACAGTTACAGCTTGTCGTGGATCTCATATTTTATATGAATTACATTTTAAATGTTTCTTATATCGATATTGATTGTAATGTTTATTTGAGTGCTCATTTTATGACTATTTTGATAGTGCTGAATTCTACTACTACCCAACTTGAGTGAAGTCTTCCTTTTATTTGAACAATCGTTGTGAGAATAACTGTGTGAAGTATGAGTCGCATCGAAGGACGGGAAAATGCTTGATAGCGCTGGTCCGCGCTAACGAATACAGACTTGGGGGTCCACTGAAAATATCATGTTGAAATCCACATTCGTACATTTCATTTTGGCATGAATGCCTCACCGATGTCGAATATTTCGCATTACAGGACTTCCATTGACTTCGTCTTCTAGAACTACTATAGCACTGCCATCAGCGCACACATCCATAGTGACTTCATACTCGTCGTTGTCCACACTAGTCACTTTGTGCCACCTTTGACAATATTTTTATCATTTACGAAGTGTCCTTTTGAATTTGAACACTTACCCATCAGCATCAAGCTTCCAAACACTTAGGGTAGCTATTTGTGTGGTATTCTGAGTGACTACCCACAGATGACCTGGCCTGTGGAAAACCCCCATTACATGAACAACTCCTTTCGCATTCTCTTCTCCCACGGCAGGCGCAAATGGGAATTTCGATGGGATCGTGTGGATCTAGAATGGCAGATGCTTTAATTATCAGGTAGCGACTTAATATTACAAAGAAATGCTGACCACTTTACGACGCAGATCAATCGCAAAAAGATTCCCATTGAAACTGCGTTCTTCCTCAGATCCCGGTATTGGTTCACTTTCAAACGAGTATATGACGTCCCCTTCTCGCCATGGATCAGTGTAGAGGAAATAGCATTCGCCTTCGTAAGCGATGTCTGGAAAGAGATGGTAATGAAAACCGTTGCAAATCAGCATCGAAGACAACTGGTTGAACTCGACAAGGTATTAACAAGCATAGGTTCTGACCGCCGACCGGTCCTATCCTAATTCCTACGGTGTCGTAAGATTGTAGTCGAGGTCAAAACGTTACTGCTCTGGTTTTCGAGCACTACATTTGGATTGGAAACACACTACCGTCGTCCACCACCTCCAGGATCTAGTCTCGTTTTTTGGAAACGCCGAACGTAACCATGAACAAGAATTACAATGTTCTTGTCCTCGATCGGTTACTAAGTTCGAAGGCCTCAACTTCTATTCAGCTTCCCCACAGAATCGCACTGAAGCCTGAGTGCGTACTTGGCTTGTTAAACAACTTGATGCAGGCAGCCGAGCCAGCCCCTTAGTCTTCCGGACGGCTTAGTAACAACACATTAACTTCGGTGGAATAGAACAGTTGTCTTTTGCAATCGGGTACATATCCCGTTTTATGCCACGTACCATAAGCACGGCATCGCACTTCCAAGCAGTACTCGACATCCGTCGATTTATGGAGTTGAGAGATTACAGAGATCCTACTGAATATAACACGCTAATCTTGTATGTGTGTGTCGGCGTCTGTGTCAACGGAGAATTCAAAATTACAATCCTCTCCACCTAGAGCGTTTCAGTTTGTTAAAAGAACCAGCAGCGGTATGAGAACACTGACGGTAGATGAAAGAATAGGACTTCTCTCGCGGGGCGGGCCTTCTCGAAAACCGTTTTTTCACCTAGACTTAAAGGCACAGTTCGCGATAAAAACGGTTTCTGAGGTTCCCCCGCAGGAAGAATTTGAGGCCCCGCGTATACCATGTCTAGCACTATTAGGCGGAAAACGGCACAGTTAGGGAGTTATAAAGGCTCAAAGATTGGCCCGTGGTATCCTCGGACGAGTTTCACCGGCTGCACCGATCCCAAGGAAACCCAGGTAGAAAGTTCAAGCAACTCGTCGTGACCTATAGCGACAGTGAAAGACAGTTCTGTACAGTTCTGGCTTGATGTAGTCTGCTCTTTGCGCAGTTGCAACAACTGAAATCTCGTCCGCATACTCCTTCTCTTCCATGTTATTTCCGCCAAGACAATTTCGTCGAACCTCTATTTTCCCTACTTTTAGGGAGCCATATTTCTTCTCGAAATCGGCGAGTTTTCTCGATTTCTTCACTGCCGATGAGCTCGATCTAGACGTATTCCCAATCTATACTTCCGCTCTTCGAGTAAAAACGGGTACCCCAAAATTATCGTGAACTGTGCCTTCAAGGAGTTAACATTTGGAAGGAATGCAGATGGCTGGATGGAAATACTGAGGGTTGCTGGACCCTACTCCCAGTTGCAGTGACGTGCGCGGAACGAGCATAAACTGAGTAAAATTGCATAGCCAAGTGGAAAATGTGGGAAATGAACAAAGTTACCTAAACACGAGTACCATAACTTCCGTTCTACTGGAACAGAACGTCCAACTTTGGAAGATGCAGAAGGCAGACCAACTACAATAGGAAAAAAATAGGAGCCCAGCATGGGGTAATTGGATGGATTAAAATAATAGTCCAGGAAAGCAAAAATCACAGCCATAAACTAGAGAGAGGGATTAAAACTCCCGTTCACTTCATTTTAACTCATCACTTTTTTGACAGTACTCCAATTTCATGTTTTTGCGATTCCTTGAGGCAATGCCAACTCCCTCAAAAACTGTGTACGCTCAAGACGAACTAGTACGCTAAAAGAGGAGATACTCAGCGAAAAAGTAAGCGAGAATATCCTTCGTCTGTGCCATGTGCAGCTGCGCCCATGTACTCGATGCTAACAGAGATGGAGCTTAATCTGAGGAAAAATATTTCCTAAATATCTTACTTGAATATATTAAAATATCTTACTAATTCCACTTATACACAGACACTGTTCTTCTGTTTTACTAATTTTGCTCTCTCAAGGACTTTACTTTCCCACGAATGTTCTATTTTGCCATTCCAGAACTCTATCATTTCTGTGCTCACGTATGGTAGGGACATGGAGTAAGTGCATAAACTTTCGAATTCTCGCGTCCAGCCAGGGTCGCACTCTTTACTGCGAAGCAACTCTGATACTTCTGACCTACAGTTAGTTGTAAATCAGAAGACTGAATGGGGCGGACGAGCAGCTCAACACATGAGCTGGCTGAGGCGATAGTTAAATCACATACACTCCTTTGGCAATTGAAGGTGAGTTATGATGAGCCGAACTAGACGACATCATCAGCAGAGTCTCCACTAACATTCAGCGCCGGTCTTTGCTAGTTCCATGCCTTGAAGTATTTTCCACGTCTGAAGCTCCATGACCTTGTGACACCGAGACAAATAGACAGGCTAGTCTGCCAGTGTAATCGCCTTCACACATCTTACATGGAATGAGCTTAATTCCCCCGATGATGCACAGTAGGCCTCTGATTCTATTCTTACGAATCAACTGCATGCCTACCGCCTGCATGCTTTTCGAGAAAAATGGAAAAATTTCAACCATCCGCACGAGATGTTTGAAGCGTAAACTCAGCCACATCGTGGAATTGAACTGCAATCAGTTCAATTCCAAGATGATGAAATGCAATCAGTTCATCTTGGAATTGAACTGATTGCATAACATAGAAAAGCATGCAAAATGGAATCTTTCAATAGCTTTTGATTGTTGGATNTCTTACGAATCAACTGCATGCCTACCGCCTGCATGCTTTTCGAGAAAAATGGAAAAATTTCAACCATCCGCACGAGATGTTTGAAGCCACATCTTGGAATTGAACTGCAATCCTTTCAATTCCAAGATGAACTGCAATCAGTTCAACTTGGAATTGAACTGATTGCATAACATAGAAGAGCATGCAAAATGGAATCTTTCAATAGCTTTTGATTGTTGGATCGTGTTCAACACTCCTCTAGCGGTAGTAAAGGTTCCGGCCAGGTAGTGGTCTTCTAGACCTTCAGCTCCCTTTCGAAGGAACTGTTTTTCTCTGACGGATTTTAAGAAGATCTCTCACTTCTGTCATTCTGACATGACAGATTCAGCTTTTAAAAGTGATCCTCTTGCTGACCCGTACGTGGCCTTTAACAGTAATCGTAAAAGGAGTGTGATGTTCCCGTTCGTAGATTCTGGTGATATCTGCTTTCATGAGAGCCCGATTCCACCCGAACCTGATTGGGGAAGGGAACTCAATCACATCACATTCAGCACATGTTGCCAGCTTGACAAATGGGTAAGCACTTTTCATTCCCCTCACAGTTGTGCGGAGAATAAGGTAATCATTTAGCCACAGACAGTAAACAAAAACATGTCTTAGCTCGATCTTTTATGTAACTATAGACCTGTAGATTTGATGGGTACAAAAATCAAGTGAAAATCCCGTTTAATCAGCTGAATTGTAAGTTATAGGGGACGGTGTAGTTCATTACAGTTACAAGGTGGCATACAGATTACTAATTCGGACCACCCCGGGCCTGCAATAGTGAAACGACCAGCATTACGTTTCCCACTACTGCGCTCACTTGTTTTTGAGTTGGACCAGGTCTGCCACCCAATCGAGAGATAGTTTGGACAGTGTCATGAATGGTTTCAAAGGGCTTACGAGTCCTCTAAGGGGCTCTTGCATCTACGTAGACATGCAAAAGAAGAACCCAGAGTAGAATGTAATGTCGATATTCCCGCTAATTCTATCCCTTCTGTTGCTCTTTTATCATATAGCCCACCTCAGTGGGAGTGGTATCATGTGTCTTCGCAAGTACCGCCCATCCTTCATTTCTTCGCAGCAGCGGAGCTCCAGTTCATGTCTGAGCGTAAATAAGAGCATGAAAAGCTCAGCAAATTTCCAAGACCCAATCTCCTTGGATAACGATGAGCAATGAGAGAGCAAGTAGGATGTTCCCAGAAAACACGTGCGAAGTGGAATTGTTTGCAAGCCCTCAGCTCTTCTATTTTCTTTATGAACAGGTATCGCACACTATTACGACAAACAAGGTTTTATTTTCCTGTCAGCTGGCAGGCTATGCCATAAGCGGCTGACCATCATCCCCAACTGCTATTCTACTTATCCGAAAGAGTCCTACTCTAGATGTAGCCGGTTTCCTTCGCCGCAACTCCATGACGCTGGAGACATGTTTTAATTCTAGAATTGTAGAAAAATTACGTAAAATAAAAATAGTGTTCCGGAATGAAACGGCTAGGGCTCACTGGCTGGTAGGATTGGATAGAGTATGTGTCATGCCAGCACGTCTCCTACTTTGACGATTTTCCTAATTTTTTCCCCTCTCGGTAAAAACGTTAGAGCCCATGACTTCTGTGATGCTGTCAACAAAACAAATGTAACACATCTTCTAATTCCCTCTATCAAGGGAATTAGAAGATGGAAAGATTTTGGAAATAAAAACCTACCAGTATGTGCAATGTCAATAAATTTTCCATGGAATTGCAATTCCGACACACGTATCCCTTGCTCGGAGCACGCCACCAAAGTGAATCCTTTCTCGCTTCTTAAATTACCAGTATCCCTTGTACCTTATGGTATAGTGAACGACTGATGTATGAAGGATCACAAGTGTCCAATAAGACGACAAATGCTTACCTCATACACCTATATTCCTTCATGCCATTATGTTGCTGCCAGTTATCGAGCACTTGGATTCTATCCAATTCTTGAACTTTCTTCTTTTCATGATCCAGTTTCATGTGTAATACCTACATAAAGCTTTACATTT